GTGCTCATCAGTGATGCACACAATCGACTGACTAAATATCAACAGGTCATCATTAGAGAGAACGAATGGACAGCGCGCTGCTATAACAGTTAGTAAAAGCAATATCACTAGGCAATAACCTAACGAGGCAAGTCAAAAGAGGACGGCTCAAAAAATTTAGACAGAATACCACCGCAAGATAGGGAACCGGAATCACAATATTGGATAAAAAGCGTTATCCAGTTTGATGCTATCACATGAGGAACAGTCAGTATTAATTCAAGGATTGAACCTAAATCGTGCCGATGCCAATCGCTGCACTGGAGTCCGCCATGAAGACAAATAACATTTCACCGGACACCAAAGAAGACATAAGACAAGGGATAACTGCTGCGATGAACAGAAGAAAGGAGAAAAATGTCTTCAATCAAAAGGAACTACGAGCCATGGACAACTTGAAACGTGGTAAGAAAATAATCATTCTCCCGGCAGACGAGGGAGAATGACGGTGGTGATCAACAATACGGATTACATAACCAAGGCAAAACAAATACTGGAAGACACCAGTGCGTACAAACGGATTGAAGTGGACCCAACAAAGAAGACTAAAAACAAGATCGCTAAAGTATTGAGTAATTTGAACAGGAACAACTACATCACGTTGGATGAATATAGACTCATGAACCCAGAGGACACCTTCTGACGACTTAGCACCAGATCGATCAAAACACGGCGTTTTGTAGTATCTAAAAGTCACAAATCGTAAGATTGCTGAGGTTTGTAGAAACGCTTGCTATCAGCCGATGAAGGCTCCCTCCCTTACGCCCTTACCTTGGTGGCATAATCCTCTTACTCCTCCTCCGGTTTACTTTGTCGCCACGCTCTATACCTGTATACCTTTATACCAATTTAAGTGCACCCGTGGTACCACTTCCGTAGCTTTACGGCAAGATAGCTATCTAAACGCCTCAAGGGACGTCAAAAATTATTCGCTTAGTGCACACCAGGTGGATACCTACCTATTCGGCTTACTCCTTCATTTAACACATCCCACAAAATAAATTCTGGGCTGTTCGAATTAAAATGTCGGCAACACCGGAGGCAATTTTCATCCGGTTATTCAAACCGGAGAGGGGTTGGAGAAAACTGCTTATTCAGGCACCTAAACCTGAATTGGACAACATCAAGCATGAGCATAGTGAAGACCCAAATCAGTTGACAAGGATTACGTCACCGTTTCTTAGAACCGGAAAC